TTTGAGTTTCTGATTAGCGTCTCCAAAGGAGGCAATCAGGTATGCATTTATCTCAGTGAGCAGATGGGTGACTTTGAATAGAACAGGAGGCAGGTTTGCCCTAAGGAGTTCCCAGCTTGACTTACTTTTCCCTTTAGCTTAGTGATTTTGTGGCCCCAAGATTTATTTTCCTTTCATGAGGTTCTGCAAAGGTAAGGTCTAGAAGTCTGTGCGTGTTTTAACTCCCTATGTAATTTCAGTGGCGGAAAAGGTCTAAGATTCACTGATGCCACCACATTTGTGCATCTCTGCAGCCACTGCCCCAGGCTGATCAACGGCATCTCTTACCAGGGAGATAACCTCCTAGCTTGTCTTCCTAATTCTACTTTTGTCCTTCCTTCATCCAATCTCCACACAGCAGCCAGAGGGAGCTTTAAAAACAGATTAAATCACTTCCCTGCCTCCAACACTTCTAGACTCCTGCCTGTCTCTGACCTCACGCGCTCGTCCTAACCCACTGCGTTACTCAATATGCTGCAGCCAGACTGTTACCGGTGGAGGGTGCCCAGGTTCTTGGCGTCTTGGACAAAACACACAGACAAAGCAAGGAAAGAATAAAGCAACAAAAGCAGAGATTTATTGAAAACGAAAGTACACTCCACAGGGCGAGAACGACCCAAGCAAAGAAACTCAAGAGGCTCTTTACAGAAGTTTCTGGGGTTTAAATACCTTCTAAAGGTTTCCCATTGGTTATGTGGTGTACACCCTGTGTAAATGAAGGAGCCGCCCGTGATCAGTCTGATTGGTTGTGGAAAGTGACCAATGAGAGGCTGAAGTTACAAGTTACACCCTATGCAAATGTCTGATTGGTTGTGGAAAATGATCAATCAGAGACTGAAGTGAAGTTACAAAGTTATACTCCTATGCAAATGAAGATTTGGCCCCAAGCAGCCTGACTGGTTGTGGGAAGAAGGGACCAATTAGAGGTACTTTCAGTTTTTCATCTGCCACACAGAAAAGCTGGGATTGCAAAGGGAGTAGCCTCTGGTCCTTTTGTTATTGGAAAGTTGGGGTTTTCCTTTTGATTTACTTCTAGAAAGTCAGTGTGAATCAGCCTTATGTTCCCTGCCTCCAGACCCTATTCTCCTGCCTCAAGACTAGCTGGCTTCCCCTCGGGGCCACAGCACCGAGCTCCTCATCACTCCAGGGCCCTTTACTCTGGTCTCTTTCTGCATAAATTCTCTTCGCCCAGGCTTTTGTGTGGCTGGCTCCTTCTCCTCACTCACGGCTTGCTCAAACATCACTTCCTCAGAGAAGACTTCGCTGATAATCTTATCTGGAATAACTCTCCAGTCCCTTTTTTTATCCCTTGATCCTGTTTTACTTCTTGTCACTGATTTTTCTTTTTTTCTTTTTCTTTCTTTTGAGATGGAGTCCTGCTCTTGTTGCCCAAGCTGGAGTGCAATGGCGTGATCTCGGCTCACTGCAACCTCTGCCTCCCGGATTGAAGCGATTATCCCGCCTCAGCCTCCTGAGTAGCTGGGATTACAGGCACCCATCACCACGCCTGGTTAATTTTTGTATTTTTCAGAGAGACAGGGTTTCACCATGATGGCCAGGCTTGTTTCGAACTCCTGACCTCAAGTGATCTGCCCGCCTTGGCCTCCCAAAGTGCTGGAATTACAGGTGTGAGCCACCGTGCCTGGGCTTGAATTTTCTTTTCTTTTCTTTTTTTTTTTTTTTGTTCATTTATTGCAGTCTCCCTCCACTAGACATTCATGTGCTGAAAACAGGGACTTGATCTGTTCTGTTCATCATATATCAATGCTTAGAACCAGGCCTGGCACACAGGGCAGCCATAAAATATTTGTTGAAAAAATACAATATACTTACAAAATACAGGTTTGTTTGTCCACTCATCGCCTGTTTTCCCACCGGATATGAACCCCACAAATACCCAGACTGTCCATTTTGTTCACTGCCTGTTTCCTATGTATGCTTGATATATAGTAGGCCCTTGTATTAAGCATGTCTTTGCTTTTTTTTTTTTTTTTAA